GAGAGAGGCAGAAGCAGAGAGAGAGAGAGAGAGAGAGAGAGAGAGAGAATCTTCCATCCACTGGTTCATTACCCAAATGGCCACAATGGCCAGAGCTGGGCCAATCTGAAGCTAGGAGCTAAGACCTTCTTCCAGATCTCCCACGTGGGTGCAGGGTCCCAAGCATTTGGGTCATCTTTCACTGCTTTTCCAGGCCATAGCAGAGAGCTGGCTTGGAAGTAGAGCAGCCAGGACTTGAACTGGCACCCATAAGGGATGCTAGTACTGCAGGGGGTGGCTTTACCTGCTATGCCACAGCACCGGCTCCATATCCCATAAATGAATAAATCTTAAAAACATAGAAAGAAACAAACAAAAAACAAGTGAATGGTACAGACTTAAGATAGTTTAGGAAACTATGGGGACACACACACAGCAGGCTAAACCACTGCTTGGGATTCCCATAGCCTACACTGAAGTGCCTGGTTCGATCCCAGCTACTCCAAGCTTCTGATCCAGCTTTCTGCCAATGCTCCAGGGAGGCAGCTGATGATGGCCCACGTGCCTGGGTTTCTAACCCTCACACAAGAGACCCGGATAGGAGTTCCCAGCTCCTGGTTTTCAGCCTGGCCCAAGCCTGTCTGTTGGGGGCATCTGGGGAGTGAGCCACTTTGCCTTTCAAACACGTAAATGAATCTTTTTTTTTTTTTTTTGACAGGCAGAGTGGACAGTGAGAGAGAGAGAGAGACACAGAGAAAGGTCTTCCTTTTGCTGTTGGTTCACCCTCCAATGGCCGCCACGGCTGGCACGCTGCGGCCGGTGCACCGCGCTGATCCGATGTCAGGAGCCAGGTGCTTCTCCTGGTCTCCCATGGGGTGCAGGGCCCAAGCACTTGGGCCATCCTCCACTGCCTTCCCGGGCCACAGCAGAGAGCTGGCCTGGAAGAGGGGCAACCGGGAAAGAATCCGGCGCCCCGACCGGGACTAGAACCCCGTGTGCTGGCGCCGCTAGGTGGAGGATTAACCTATTGAGCTGCGGCGCCGGCCATCAAACACGTAAATGAATCTTATCAAAGGGAACCGTGTGGGGGCCGGTGCTGTGGTGCAGTAGGTTAATCCTCCTCCTGCAGCTCTGGCATCCCATACAGGCTCTGGTTCTAGTCCCGGCTGCTCCTCTTCCAAGCCAGCTCTCTGCTATGGCCTGGGAAAGCAGTAGATGGCCCAAGTGTTTGGGCCTCTGCACCCATGTGGGAGACCTGGAAGCAGCTCCTGGCTCCTGGCTTTGGATTGGCCCAGCTACAGCCATTGCGCCCATTGGGGAGTGAACCACTGTCTGTAACTCTACCTCTCAAATAAGTAAATAAAATCTAAAAAAAAAAAAAAAAAAAAAAAGGAACCGGTGTAGGGAGTGGGAGGTAGGTGTTGGGAGGTGTTCATAGGGGACTTGCCTCACGCAGCCCTGGTCTCACGTCTCACCTCAGCAGGTTTTCCTTTTAAATATGATTGGAAGAATCACCAGCAGCCGCCGGAGCTGGCTCAGTTCAACCTATGAGGATTCTCAGATCTCTTCTCAACCACACTGGTCACTTGAATTAACCATGGCAGATACAGTCACAGAACTGGCGAATGCTACAAATAAGGGCTTTTTTTTTAAAAAATTAAAAGGTGTTGAGGTCTGGTTACACAGTTACCAGATGCTGAGGCCCACACAGGGACCCCTCCTGGGGGCTACCCAAGGTGTGGCAAGCCGATGGCCAATGTGCACTCGGGGGAACCAGCAGTGAACTCCGGCTTCTTGGGCTCAACACTGTGGGATTCACCCGCGTCACTGTCTGCGGCTGTACAGTGCTCATCCTGTTATCCAGTCTCCTTGCGTGACTGTTCCTCAACTTACACTATTGGCTGGATATCTGGGTAGTGCGCAGGCTTTGAGTATCATGGGGAGGCCAGTGATGGGCGCTCCAGAACACGCCTGTTGGCCACACCTGCACATTCCCACCTGGGGAACTACGGCTCCCGGGGCTCCCACAGATCTGTCTTTAGTGAGAGCCAGCTTCTCTTTGACCTCGCTTCTGTTCTCTGCCTCCTGCCTCACTCCTCTCCCTTCCTCCCAGCCATCTTCCCCTTTGGGCCTAGGCTTTGGGTGGGAAAGGCCAGCCAGGGCATGGGGACCAGCCTGGGCACACTTGCTGTCCCCTCACCTCCAGAGGCTGATGGTGTCACCGGGGAAGGAGCTGCCCGGCGATTGGAGGGGAGCTGCCCAGGGGAGCCCTGGGGCCTGGGCGGCCCAGGCGGCTGCAGCTGAGCAGGAACTAGGATTGTACATTCAGACATAGTCTTCTTGTGAATCTTTGTTCCGCAGCTTAATGCCCCATAAAAAGAGGCCCATTGTCGAGCGCCCTGTGTCCTGGGTGGGCGTTGGCAGTGTGCAGCACGAGTGGGTAGAGCCATGTGGCTGCAGGGCTCCCGGGCCCGGGCCTTCAGGTGGGGTGGGTGCTCCTCAGGCTTTCTGTAGGAAAGCAGCTCACAGGTACCACACATGCCCCTTCTGACAGCGGCGGCTGATATAGTGTGAGTTATAATCCCATTTCCTGGCAGACAGCTCCTAAACTCCTGGATCACCCAGAGCGTGTTTCTGTATGCTAGTCACTGGTCAGTGGCTGGCAGCTGCGGCTTCAGGATGGGGGCTGTGAACCAGAGACCATGGCAGGATTTGGGGTGAGGCTAGGACTTCCGGCCCTACTCCCAACCTCCGTGGAGGTGAGAGGAGCCGAAGGTCAAGTTTACCACGGGGGGTGGGGGGCGATGACTGCACTCTAGCCAGTGGTCTCTGGTGATGGTGGGAACCTTGAGGCACAGCAGTCACAACCAGGCCTTGTGCCCGGCATCCGGAGAGGGGGCGGCCTCCTGGGCCTGAACCCTCAACCCGGACTCCGTCTTGCACTCCATGGGCGACAGACTGGAATTGAGGGCTGTCAGCTGGTGTCCTCGGCGAATCCGAGAGGAGGTGCAGGGAAATCCTCCTCGTGTCCAGCGTCAGGAGCGCGTTGAGTGTGCAGGCAACACCGGGTTCCCTCCGCCTTCGTACAGGTGCCTCCTGATGTTCTGCCACAGCGGCTCTTACGCTTGCTCACTCGCCCGTCACCTGCCTGGCAAGCCTTGAGCGCCCGCTGCTCCCCCGGGAAAGGGAGGAGTTCAGATTCTTGGCCTGTTTGAGGGGGAGAGCGCCAATCACTGTCGCTTCATGCCACCGTGAGTCAGGCACTGGGCAAACGCTTGGCACGAATCATCTCATTAATTGCACCGCTTAATTCTCACGCTGACTCCGGGTGGCGGAGATGACCACTCTCCCATTCAGAGGAGGGAACCACTGAGGCTTGGGGAGACTAACGATCCAAGCCCAAACTCGCAACCTCCCCCAGTCCTGTCCCTCTGGACACAGGTAACCAACGGCTATGGCCAGCCCAGCCAGGCCACCAGGCTGCCACCATTAGTGACAGGAGGCTCCAGACCCTGCATCCTGGTTCCCACGGGAACACGGAAGGCAACAGCAGAGTCCGGGAAATGCGATCCTAGCTTTTTGGAGCCAGGGACCTGGTGCTGGGCACCAAGAGCTGTATCTGAGCCCCACAACCTCACCTGTTGAGCCAAGAGATGGCTCTAGAGAACTTGAGGCTCAGAGGCTTCACAGGCCTGACACTGCTGGGGGAGGGGCGCACACACCCTGGCGGAATCCACTTGCTGCTAAGGGGCCGGGGCGGGGCCTGTGCTGACCCTTAATGCGCCGGGAAGGCGCTGCCGTGGTTCTCGGAGCCCACGCATCTCCAAACTTCAGGGCTCCCTCCCCAGACAAAAAAAAGGTCCCCCACCCCTGAGAAGGAGACATGGGCTTAGAGCACTGGAGGCGAGGAGACAAGACCAGCTTCCAGTGTCTCGCATCGGGCTGTGGGGGCCTGATGGAATCCTGGGGGGCCCCATCAGTTTCAAGCCTACCATTCCAGGTGTGAATCCACGTAACCAGTGGGGAACACCATTGGCCTGTGTAGGCCACTGTCAGCCCCTCCCAAGTGTGTTTTCCCGCTGCATGCAGTCCACAGGGGGCACTGCGCCCCAGCGTGTGAACGGACAGCGAGTGCATCTACCCACCTGCACGGAGGAGTGCAGGACTCCGAGCCCGGTGCTGCAGGATCTCGTGCTGTGGTCTCAGGCCGCCTCCCACCACCGCAGTTCTCCCCGGCTGGAACCTGGTGACGCAGGCTGTCTTCCTCACTGTGCAAGTCCCAGCGGTGGCCCTGGGTCCAGAGCCACTCGTGTGGATTGTCCACTGAAGTGATTCGGGAGCCGACGCTCCCTCAGCCGGGGACCACACTGCCTGGGCCCCATCTCCATGCTCTGGGAAGCCAGGCCCGTGCCTCTCGTGGGCTTGCTGAGGACAGAGTGAGATGCTGCAGGAAGGGGGCCTGTGCTGGGGTGACAGCGACATGGCAGAGGCAAGCACCTGGCACTCAGTCCACACCGGGTGCTCAGTACCTGTTAACATGTAATCCTCGCGCCATGCAGGCACCCTGCCCTCCCCACGTGAACAGGAGCAGAAGTGGACGCTGGGAATGGGAGAGGACCCAGGCAGCAAAGCCCATCCTTTGTAGGCACAGCAGGTGCCAGAGTTAGGCATGCAGGGTGAGCTGGGACGGGCGCAGGGGACGACTTGTGTTATGTATCCGCCCTCAGCACAGCCAAATGAAGCCTCCTGCTCTCCAGTCTGAAGGGGTGGGGGTGGGCGTTGGCCACCGCGGTTGTCACCTGGTGGGCCTGGGTCTGATCCCTGGCTCCATTCCTGCCTCCGGCTTCCTGCTAAGGCAGACCCTGGGAGGCAGCGATGACGGCACAGTGATTGAGTTCCTTGACCCCAGCTTTGGTCCCTTGTGGGCATCTGGGGACTGAACCAGCACACAGGCACCCGCTCTCCAAATATTTTGTTTTAAAGGACTAGTGGACACTCACAAAACGGCTTGATTTCAGATATTTGGGATCAACTGAGAATATGTTTATTTAAAAGCAATTTTAAATATTAAAAAAGGTAGAAATTAACACATACAGTACTGAAAAACTCACATTAAATACATGTGAAATGACAAGTGTACTGACGCTTGATGGTAACATCCAGATGAGAGGTCGGGTTTCACTAGTGGCACTGCGGGTTCCTGTACAACATGTTGAAGTTCTAGGCATTAAAAAAATAAATAGCAATTGCTGTTCAACAGTCAAACAAGACACATACTATTTGCAGAATAGAACTTTCCCTTCTGGAGGAAACAACTAATTTGCTATTTTCTTTGTAAGGTTTCATACCTTCAAAATACTATATCATGTACAAAACTGCAGATAGTGGCTCACTGAGTTTAAGAACAAGATCAGATTTCAACTCAACAAGATTGCCGAAGGTATTTCTACTTTTCCTATGTCCCACAGTAAACTGGACTAGAGAGAACTCAAATTCCGGATGGAAAACAAACACAAAACCAGCCAAAAAAGTTTCAAAAAGTTAAAACAATGCATGTGTGTAAGCTGGGAAAAAAAAAAAAAGACATTGACGCTGTGTCATTTTAGACGTGTAACTTTTGCTTTAAAAAAAAAAAAAAACCAGTTTGAGATCAGGCCACAAAAATGAACAGCTCCTTAATCATGTGAATGGGTGAACTGGGACACCGAGCAACTTCGAGGCTGACTTCCTGTCCTGATACCAGTGTGGCTGAGATGCCGCCAGGCCCAGACGGGCATGTGGACTGCGAGCCCATGTCTCGGTCTGCTGTGGCAATGCACACGTGCCCTGACACCGAGGAAACAATTGCTAAAAGTCATCTACCAGTAACAGCTGATCAAGTATTCTGCAGGTGTGTCATGCAAGGTTTAGTTATGAGGAGGTGATTATTCAGTTTTCATAGTAACCACTTAAGCAGAACTAAATTGATAATTCACTGAGCACTTGACTCTGGAGGACAGAGGGCTTCTCCTAAGGGTGTGGCTGGGAGTTGTGCTTCTGTGAAATTAACATTTCTCCTTCAATGCCAAGATCATCTGCTTAAAAACACTAGTCTTCTGTGCTGTTGCCAAAAGAGCAGCTGAAGCCGATGTAACGCCAGACCACCACGTGGTCCCACGGGCCGCAGGGTACGGCTCTCCCGTTCTTTCCCCAAATCTGGATGAAGTGCAGCCCGGGATGCTCACAAGGGTCTTAATGGTCTGATGACAAACAAGGCTGGGCTGCAGAGAGAACAGGGAGGGGAGGGACTCCTGGCAGGGAGAGCGCAACTCACAGCAGCGATCAGAACCCTGGTGAGGGAGGGACCGGGCTGGGTGGTGGCCTGTGTACCGGACAGAGCTGGAGGCTGGAGAACTCACCTACGGCCGGGCGAGAGCGAGGGCATGGAAGGAAAGCTTGATTTCAGCCCCCGGCCTCTGCGGCGGGGAGCTGGCTCTGATGCTAAAGTTCTTCACGTGCATGACCTTTTAAGAGTTGACGTTTCTCCAAGAACAAAACTGAGAAAAAGGACTGAAAATGGGCACACTGGATGCTTCGACACGCTCAGCGTGGCTGTCAATCCACACTCGGGAGAAGGCCGAATGACTGACCAGAAACGAATATTGTTGCAACCTTATAATTTCTGCTTTAATGGCAATCAAGTTTAGAAAAATGTACAGTTCCACTTATCCACACTATTCCTTTATAAAAGGCAGATTTCAGGTAAGCTTCTAGATGCATGCATAATGGAGAGGCTAGTATTTTTTGGTGGTCCTTGGTTCCTGAAAGTCGAACTTAATCAGGCGTGTTTTAAACTTTTTGTCAAAATAGTCATGAAGGATATGTTATTTTTGCATAATGAGGTAACATCTCGGGGCGGGCACTCATCTTCATAACAGTATAAATCCACTCATCTAAACCTGCATGAGGCTGTGTGCCTTTAAAATGCCACAACGAGTGCTGGGTCAGTCGGTGAGTATTTCGCTGAAGGAGTAACACTTACATGTAACTGAGCACTTTTCTGTAATAAATACCACAGTAGGTTTTTGTAGCTGTAAACTGTGTACACAGATAGGTTAACTACAGGCTGGTCTGTCATGGAGCCAAGAGTTTCACCTGGAGAACAGAACCCACCTCTTCGCTAATGTTGCATTTTCAGTAACACAACAGAGAATACTGCATTGTTAGGAACAGAGAGTTAATTCTATGCCCTTCAACGGTCGCTGGAGACAATTTCTACTTGCAAAGCCAGCAGTTCCTATATTCTTGTTGTTTGCATGGAAAACAGCACAGAGAGAGATATAAGTGCTAGATGCCAAGGATGGCTTTGGCAAACCAGTAAGGCGCGCTGGGTCCCAAGGCTACCCTACCACTGGCGAAGGAAGAAGACCACAGGGTATTCACAACACACAGTCTATTTCCCCCGGAGGTGCCCTTCCACGAGTTTCTGACTCTGTAACAGCAGCTATATACACGTTGTGCACAGGACTCCTTACAAGGAGGCAGCAGTCTCGCAGGAAGGAGGTGGACGATCTCACGGGTCGGCTTTCTGCTAGTCGGACAGGATGTGGACAAAGGACACTGGAAAGACCCCCTTCCTTTCAGGCTGTCCCTCGATGTGCCCAATCTGCAGGGAGAAAAGACACTGGTCAGGCCGGAGGCAGCAGGCAGCTGCCTAGGACCAGCCCAGTCCAGCACAGAGTCTGCCACAGACCTTGCCCGCGCTCTTGTGAATGACAGAGAGCTTAACGACCAAACCACAGAGCAAAACAGCAAGCGGCAGCACTCGTGTCTGCTGAGGACTGCCAGTGGACCCCACCGCACCCATGCACACGCAGCCCGAGAGGTGGGCTATCCTGTCCACGGCCTCACACAGGCCTCTGTGTGTGAGCCCACGTTCTGAGCCAGGGCTTGGCCCTTCTAGCTTGGAAACCTCAGAAAGTCGTGCTTAGCCTTCTCTACGAGATGGGACCAAGAGGTTCTTTCTTCCCAGGCTTGCAGAATTCTATTTAAAAAAAGGAAGGGGGGAAATACATGGACAGGAGTGCTAGGTACCAACTGCCTGTCTTCTGGTTATTACGGAGGGAAAGGACATGGCGCATGTTTGAGAATGATGGTGGCTGATGGACGTTTACTGCCTGCTGCATAAGCTGCAAAATTTTTCTGGTTACCTCCATGCAATCAGTACTGAGTGAAAGAAAAGCCACACCATGCGTCTCTAAGAAAACAGGATCATACATATTGGCTTCCAATGACAAATATGAGGGGTATTCAAAACGTTCATGGAAAAACATGCATGAAATTCACAAGATATCTGCACCCAAATAAACTAGTCTTGTACTTCTCCTTTTCCATGACCTTTCTGAAGTACCTTCATATACAGAGTGGAGGGCAGTTTTCAGGGGGGCAGGAGCAGCCAGGCCGGGCCCGCTCTCATTTCTGCTCTGGGAGGTACCCGCAGGTTAGAGGGTGGTGGGAACAAGGGCTGTGGGTCCAGCACAGAGCTGGTCCCTTTATTTGCCAGCCCTGTGCCACGCGTGCTACTGCAAAGTGCAGTTACCGGTGAGACCTGGCCTCCCCTTCTCCTGTAGGAGTTGTCAGCATGCCCGAGAGAGGGCGCTGTGGGCATCACTGTGAGGGTGAGTGGCCCTGTCTGTACACCTGGTGCGGCACGTGTTGGCGGCACAGCATTCCCCAGGAATGATACAAGAGACAGCAGTGAACACTTCCCACTTCTCACGGAGTCTGCTGGCGTCACCAGTTCCTCAGCAAAGAACGTCACCACAGGGTACTGTCACACCGACGGATTACAGGCGAATTCTCCCACGTCCTTCTAGGGCGGGATTATCATGTCCCATTTTCCAGAGGGAAACCAAGGCTTCCGGGGGGACATACTTTACTCAGGGCCACACAGCTGGTCACTGACTCCAGCAGGGGCTGCAGGACCCCACCTCCCTGTCACCGAGTTGCTTCTCCAGCAGGCTGTGTGCCGGGAGCACGCCCGCCTCTGCCAACACAGAGGCTGGGAGCTCCACCAGGTGTGCTGCAGCTAGTGGCTCGTTGAGAGAGAAGACTCCACTGCTTCTCAGCAGGGTTGCATAAGCTCAGAATGACTGCTTCCTTTGTGGAGGAGGGGCGGGGTCGCCTGAGCACAGGCCGTGAGCACCGTCTCTGGCTATGGCCTGGATGCCTGTAGCACCGGCACTCCCAGGTCCTGACCATGAACATGCCTTCAGATAGTACCAAATGTCCCTGGGGAACAAAACTGCCCCCAGTTGAGAACCACTGCTTTGCTTCAACCACAGCCCCTACAGTTGGCATCAATAATGCAAAGCTACGGTCTAGGCCAGAAAGAAGAAATGCCAAAGGTGGACACCCACACATACGTGCGTGTGTGTGTGTCTGTGTGAATGTGTGTTTCTGGGTGTCAGCAGGTTCTGCTGGCCCAACTGTGCCTTGCAGGTCTCTTTCCCGCAGAGACCTTCTGGGTGTGAGGGGGCGCAGGCTGTAAAGGAAGTGGGATTTGCAAGACGAGGCTGGGGAATAATCAGCAAAGAAAGTGAGACTACCGGCCCTTGGTCTGACAGTGCCCACAGGCAGACTTACTCCCTGGGCGGCTGCACACAGCCGGGGCCTCTGGTCTACCCATGGGCATCGTGGGGAGGACACTGACGCCCTTCCTTTCTAACACTGGGACAGCAAGTTCCAACACAAAAGCAGTGTTCATAGATTCAGAGGGTCCCCGACGCACGGGGGATGGTTTGACCACATTTTCTGACTATGTGCGGTGTGGAAGCAATACATTCAGTAGGAACTACTCTTCACCTTCCGATGTTTTCCCAGGCTACTGACAAGCACCCTGGTGCTCCCTCACAGGGCTGCGCGGCCTCAGTGAGCACAGCTTCCCCAGGGAAGCCACCGCCCCTCTAGGGTGTGTTGCGACACTCAACTAGACTGGTCGGTGGGTTAGGTGTAGTACATGCACTTTGACTAACGGTCCCGTCTCCAACTGACGATGGGTTCACCAGGTCGGAACCTTGGCACGAGGCAAGGAACATCTCCGTTCTCTCTCATCCTCCTCCTAAGGTCATGTGAGGAGGGCAGCACGCCCCACTTTACAGAGAGACTGCAGGTGGGAGCCAGGATTGCGGCTGAGGACTGAGCCTTCTGGCTCAAGCCTGGGCACAGGGTGGAACAGCGAGGGAAGTGTTCAGGGTTTAGAATCCTGACCGTGCCTGCAATCCGCCACACCTTGCCCGTCCAGCTTTTCTGAGCTTTGGCTTGGAGTCTCCCAGTGCCGACAACTCACAGAGCGGTAGCACATGCCTGGTAGAGCGCTGCGGCTGTCTGCAGCCTACTGGCCAGCGGCAGGGAAGACACTCCCTGCGACTGGCCGCTGGGGACGTGACACTGCGGGCAGGACGACTCCGTGCTGGAGCGTGCTCTCTTCCCACTGCGGCCTCGGCCTGCCCAGGGCCAGGGCTGAACAGACAGACAGACAGGTGTTTGTACGTACCCACCACTCCTGGTCCTCTTCCCCTGTGACGACGATCACCTCTCCCTCGATGAACGTAAGCTCATCATCGTTGTCTGCCTGGCAGTCGTAAATGGTCTTCACGCGCCTCACTTTATTTTTCCCCTTAAATAAGCAAACGGGGTTTTAGCTCAAAGAAGGGACAGACTGAAGGCACAAGGACAGAACTGAGTTCTTTATGAGACAGGAGACCTTGGGCAAATGACTTCGCCTCTGCGTTAGCCATCAGGCGTCACGGGGGTGTTTTCAGCAGAAAGCAACCGACAGGGGTAGGAATCAAAAACGCAGCTTCCCCAGACAGCACGAGGCTCTCGGTGCTCCCCCACCTACACCCCCAGCCTGCAGAAATGACAGCAGAGTCTAAAAATGCTTTTAGGAAACATGAAACATGATGTAAAGCAAAATGTGCAGCTTCTGCATATTCAGTGTGCAGCACAAACACATTTCTCAGTTCCCTCATGCCAAACCCAGGCAGTACACGCAGGGTACACGGCAGGATCAGCCGGGCCTTGGGAAGATTCTAGGCACTTCCTAAAACAGCTTTCATTTTTTGACCGGTTCTGAATTGGGCTTTTTATTGGCTGGACTTCCAGTTCTTCACGAGCAGGAAGATGGAAACAGAGACATGTCTTATAGTACCCAGTTAATAAGATTTAGCAATCAAAGTAGTAAGCCAGGGACAGGCATTTGGCCCAGCAGCTAAGAAAGATGCTAGCGACCCACACCAGAATACCCGGGTACAGTACAATCTTCTGCCTCCAGCTTCCTGCTAACGCAGACCCTGGAAGGCAGCAGTGATGGCTTTAGTGATCGGGTTCTTGCTATCTACATGGGAGACCTGGATTGAGTTCCCAGCTCCTGGCTTCAGCCTTGTCCAGCTCCAGCCACTGTGAGCACTTGGAGTCCATCAGCAGATGGGACCTTTCTCTCTCAGATTTAAAAAATAAGGTGTATGTGGGGGATGGGGACAGGAGGGCCGGCCTTCTGGTACAGTGGGTAAGCCACCCCTTGGGAAGCAGGCATCCCGTATCAGCCACTCCACTTTGGATACAGTTCCTTGCTAATGTGCCTGGGAAGGCAGTGGAAGACCACCCAAATCCTTGGGCCCATGCTGCCCAGGATGGAGTTCTTGGCTCCTGGCTTTGGCCTGGCCTAGTTCTGGCTACTTTGGGCATGTGGGGAGAAAACCAGTAGATGGAAGATCTCTCTGTCACTCTGCCTTTCAAATAAATACACAAATCTTTAAAAGACTAAAAAAAGAAGGTGGGGGGAAGCGGTCTCTTTAAATGTCAGGAGACTTTCTCTGCTCTCTGGTTTCCTCCTTATTCACCCTGATGATAACAGCTGCTTCCTCAGCTTCCCCTGGGACTGTGCTGGGGCGAGTGTGTGAGCGGCTGGCAGAACAGTGCTGGTGGGACATTTTCATTTCCTCTCTCTGTGAGCGATGAGAAGGCCCACACTGCCTTAAACTCCGCCAGTGTGGATGAAATGATGCAAACGACTTGACACGGTGTGTGCAGCTCTGCTGGAGTTCTGCACATGTTCAGCAGTGCCTGGGAGTCGTGGCAGATCCCCCTGGCGGACAGCAAAGCACTGCCACACTCGGTGGTCTCCAATCCGGGCGAAGATGGGTTCTATTTTCCTTCCCTTCCCTCTAGTGGTGCTGTGACACTTTTATCCTAACACTGCTTAGTAACAAAGTGGGGGGCAAGGTGTAGAGCTGCCACCTATGACGGGAGGACTTGGGGTCTCCCCCAGGACCTGTGCTCCTCAGCCTGGGGTGTGGGGGTCCCTGTGAGGGGGCAGTGGTGTGTGAGACAAACCTGCATCTTCCTGGAGCACCACGTTGCCTCAGACTTTGGGGAACGAGCACTTTGATATTAAAATGAAACTGGTTAAACGACAGAGTCGAAAGCGTTTCATGAACATGATGCAACATCAGGCTGACAAAATCCTGCCTGGGAAAGTCTCTCTGAGCTTCCATTCTGATTTCTCCAGGAAGAGGCAGAGACAGGCTCCGACTTACATGGAAGCTTTCTTTTTTTTTTTGACAGGCAGAGTGGACAGTGAGAGAGAGAGACAGAGAGAGAAAGGTCTTCCTTTGCCGCTGGTTCACCCTCCAATGGCCGCCGCTGCAGCCGGCGCACCGCGCTGATCCTGGCAGGAGCCAGGAGCCAGGTGCTTTTCCTGGTCTCCCATGGGGTGCAGGGCCCAAGCACCTGGGCCATCCTCCACTGCACTCCCTGGCCATAGCAGAGAGCTGGCCTGGAAGAGGGGCAACCGGGACAGAATCCGGCGCCCCAACCGGGACTAGAACCCGGTGTGCCGGCGCCGCAAGGTGGAGGATTAGCCTATTGAGCCACGGCGCCGGCTGGAAGCTTTCTTTCTAGTGACCGAAATGAAAGGGGAAGTTCCACCCTGGGGAGTGACCTCGCGTCTGAGCGCTAGGGCCGCTCAGCGTCCGTAAGCCCAGTTACGACAGTAGCGCCTTTCTGTGTTTGAGAACCCTGAGGCTCCGAGTTAAGTTGCCAAGGTTATTTGTGGAGCCTTCAAAAAGTTAATGGAAAATGTCTATTTTGAAAAATGATGCATGGACCTCACTTTTTTTTTTTTTGCACCAAAATGAGTTTGTCTTTTAATTCCATTTTCCATGAACTTTTTGAGGTACGTCTGTGGAAGGCAGGGAAGCCAGGTCTTGAAGCCCCTGCAGTGCAGGTCAAGGCTTGTGCCTGTGACCACCAGGCTGCACCCCTGCTAGGCTGGGACCTGAGCACACAGAGCAGCCAGTCGGGTGAGCGAGCACCCGCTTTCTCCTGTGTCAGCTGCAGCACACGCCCGCCTGCCAACTCCTGAAGCACAGCAGAGCGCCCGAACCTCGGCGCCCACCCACCGTGTTGATTTTTCTGGGCAGTGGTATCGGCGTCTCTGGCAGAGTGGGCGTGATGAGGTCATTGGAGTCTTCGGAGGCCTGCTTCTGGATGGCGTCCTTGGGCTGCACATTTGGGGAGAGATCTACTGGGTGCGCCTTCTGTGTGACCTCCGGCGGCTTGGGCGCGACATCTCCAGGCTGGGACTTTGCCAGCAGGTCTCCTAGCTGCGGTTTGGGGGGCAGGTCCTTCATCTGTGGCTTAGGAGGCAAGTCTGAGAGCTGGGGCTTCGGGGGCAGGTCACCCAGCTGGGGCTTGGGGGGCAGCTCTCCGGGCTTAGGTGGCAGATCTCCAATTTGGGGCCTGGGAGCCAGTTCTGTTGGCTTCGGGGACAGGTCTACAGATGGTGGCTTTTGTGGCAGCTCTGCCAACTGTGACGATTTCTGAAAGATTTCAGGCGGGACACCGGCTTTGTCCAGGGACAGATGATGGCTGGTTTCCGTTTTCCTTAGTGCCACTGCAGGAAACAACCACAAAGACAGGTCAATGGAACTGAAGAAGAGTGTCCAGCCGTTCTCCTGCTGTGGCCAGCTGGAGGAGGCACAGTCCCTTAAAAGAGCACTGCTCTAAGGCCAGCATCTGGATGTGTCTCCAATTCTAGCTCTAACACTTACTAGCTGTGTGACCCTGGACAAATTACACCACCTCTCGGTGCCTCAACTCTCTGGATTGCCGTAAGGATTATGTTAGTACGTGTAAAGGGTTTAGTGACAAGCATTATGACTGTAACAGCATCATTACATTCCTTGAGCCTAGGATTCCTAGTTTCATTCATTTCCGTAGCTCTGGTTCCCGGCATGGGGACCAGGTATTTACTGTGTGTTCAGCGAGGAAATAGCTAAGGCACACAGAGTGAATCAAACTGAGGGTTTCATCCATAAAATATAGTGCAATCAGAAAAATATTTATATTTTTTCATTTATTGGATGTGGAGCAGCCGGGACTTGAACTGGCACCCTTTTGGGATGCCAGCATTGTAGGCCGTGGCTTTACCCGCTACGCTACAGCACCAGCCCCCAGAAAGACATTCTTGAAGGAGAAGGAAGCGGGGAGAGAGGAGGAGGACTGCTATGAACTGTTACAAGCTGTACTGGAGCTGTTTCATGCCTGGCCTGGGTGCTACATCCCTTCCCGAGGAAACCAAATACAAGGGCACCTGCTCTTGGGCTGCCCTGGAGCTCCAGCTGATGTGGTGTGGCTCAAAAAGTTCAAGTGGGTCAGTCAGGTTCCTCTCTTGGAAGGCTGAAACTGGGCAAACCACACTGAGGCTGGCAGGAACTGGGGGAAAAGGCTGCGGCATTCCCTGGGGTGATGGCACTAGGAGGCCTTGCTGTGAGCCAGGCTGCTTGTGGGGGAACAGAAACTGTGGGTGCAAGTTCCCCGTGCTACAGTATCAGTTGTAGCAATTTATCCTGAAAAATGATCAAAGTCACGCAGAGACTTCTGTGCCAGGGTGTTCGGCGCAGCACTATTTATAAAGAAAAATGGCAAAGTGTCTGAATGTGGAGCAGCAGGGGACAGCTTAGACAATGGAATACTACAAAACTAATACAAATCATGCTGTTGTGAAACTAATTTCATGGGAAATATTTATCATGGGACTAAAAATCAGCTTAAGGAAAAAAAAGCACAGGGTAAAAAAGACAGAGGATACAACGGCACACCAGTCATCTAGGGGGCAAGACTCTGAGTGGTTGGTATTACTCTGTATTTCCCAGATATTCTGTAACGGATGGATATATGGGTATCACTTTATAATAATGGACAAAATGAGACAGCATCTCTCCTTTAGGGGTCTCTGCCCAACCTCTGCTTCTCTTATTTCCATGTTAGCTTGGCCATTTCTCCAATTCAGAGTCTTTTCTGACCACATTCTTAACCCCTGAAGTGCAGGCAAGGAGGCTTTTCTCCACAGTTGATGCATACGGCGTGTACTGCTAAAGTGAGGCACAGCAGAAATAGAAAAGGGATGAAAATCCCAGCCCATTCACTACAGAAAAAAAAACAAAAAAATTACTCCACATGGGCAGGACTGACTGGAGAGAGCACACGACAGGCCCTTGGAAAAGCTGCGTGGGACACTGCACACCTCTTCAAGGTTCACCCCGAGATGTGACAATTCTGCACTGAGAACTGACGCTGAGAGTACAGCTAAGGAAAAGGCCCACGTAAAGATGCTCACTCCAAACTGTCAGCCTGAACTGCCAGCAAACAGGGAGGCTGTGCAAGCGATGGCAGTGCACCTGCTGCACGTGCACCCCAGTGTGATGCTTCAGCAGAGTTCTCCAGTGTGTGAGAAGTGCTCACTGGAAATGCGCCTGGAAGCAGGCAGCATGCAAGACTATGTTTGCATTACAGTGACAAGGGGAGGACCATGTGTATTCTGGAAGGGATCAGGGACTTGTACAGGTGAGTTGTTCATCTAAAAATTCCTTTGACGTTTCTGTAGCATTTTTTTTTTTTTTTTTGACAGGCAGAGTGGACAGTGAGAGAGAGAGGCAGAAAGGTCTTCCTTTGCCGCTGGTTCACCCTCCAATGGCCAGCACACCGCGCTGATCCGATGGCAGGAGCCAGGTGCTTATCCTGGTCTCCCATGGGGTACAGGGCCCAAGCACTTGGGCCATCCTCCACTGCACTCCTGGGCCACAGCAGAGAGCTGGCCTGGAAGAGGGGCAACCGGGACAGAATCCGGTGCCCCGACCGGGACTAGAACCCAGTGTGCCGGCGCTGCAAGGCGGAGGATTAACCTAGTGAGCCGTGGCGCCGGCCTTTAGCATTGCTTTTTGCTGTTCAAATTGGCTCTACTGTAGCAGTCTGTGAGAAGAACTTAAACTAACTTTTTAAAGTGTACACAGGAGACGTGAGACCTGCAGCCCTGTCCTCTTTCACACTACCCTGTGCCCCTAGTGGGTCACAGCTGTGCCCATGGAGAACCAGGAAAGGAGTCTGGTTGGACAGGGCTAGCATCAGCTGAGCGCGGAGCTCCAGGTGGGGCCGCAGCCTCTCCCCGAGCATCCGAGATGCCTCTGGTGACTGTTCACCTGCCAAGGCGGCACCCCGGGCTAGAGAGCCAAGCACCCTGGGGCAGAGCCTTTCCACTGCTGCAACCCAGCACCTGGCACACGGCCTGCATGAGCACAGGCACTCAGGCAGTCCGGGGAACGAATTCACACAGTCACATGTGGGCTTGGGAGGTAAGACCCAGGCATCGCCCCGCCCCTACCCGTCTGCTAAATAAATGTTACGTGCAGTGAGTTTAACTTCCCAGGCCTGCTTCTCACACACAAAGATGTGGACAGTACTGCTTCCTTCATAAGGGGTAGATGTGGTTCTATCAGATGCAAAAGTACCTGACTCATAGCAGACCTGCGGAAGATGCAAGAATCCTGCACATCAGATGAGGGGAGGGGGCAGAGGGCTGCGGGCCACCGGCAGATTTTCTCAGCCCAAATCGCAGCCCCTGTCACCACCACCATCATGATGAGAACAGTGAGGGCCCTGCTGTCCTTGCCACTCCTGGTTCTGGTGCGAATGCAGTGGCCCGGGCCTGTTACAGGGACAAGGTGAGGCTGCTGGGCCTCGGCACAGCAGGCAGGGGGCGGGGTGGCCTTCCTGAGATCGGCTCTGCTACCTTCCTCACTCCTCTCCTCATCCCTCCCACACGCACATCCTCCTCCTCCTCACTTTGCAGGGGAGGTCGCAGAGCTTCCCCAAGTCACAAATGGAATAAGGGATGACAAGTTCCTAGCCCAAGAACAGCTGGCGTCGGCACTGTGGCACAGCAGGTAAAGCTGCTGCCTGTGACACCAGCATCCCATATGGGCGCCGGTTCGAGTCCCGGCTGCTCCACTCCCGATCCAGCTCCCTGCTAATGTGCCAGGGAAAGCAGAGGAGGATGGCCCAAGTGCTTGGGCCCCTGCACCCATGTAGAAGACCTGGAAGAAGCTTTTGGCTCCTGGCTTCAATCTTGCCAAACCACAGTCATTGTGGATATCTGGAGCATGAACCAGCAGATGGGCTCTTTCTCACTAACTCTGCTTTTCAAATAAATGAATAAATGCATCTTTTAAAAAAAAGTTGTGGTCCAGAAGAGGATGAGCATTCGGTGCCATTTGTTGGCATATGCTGTGCCCAGCACTGTTCCAGGTACCTGGGACAGAGAGGTGGCTGCCTGCGGGGAGCTCCCGTTTCAGAGGGTGACCAGGAATACAGAGCATGCTGGAAGAGGAAGGCAGAAAAAGCAGCGGAAGGAAAGAGGTGCTGTGGTGTGTGTGCGGAGAGTGGTTACAAAATAGCAGGCTTAGGGAAGGTCTAATAGAGCGAGATTCAACCAAAATGTGGAGGAAAGGGTACCTGTCATGTTGATATTTGGGGCATGGTGGAGGGCTGAAACGGCACAGACAGAGGAAGAAGTGGAAAGGCTCCGAGCATGGAGTGTGTGTAGGTGTGTGTGTGTGGGTGTGTGTGTATTTACAAGGAAGCAGTGTGGGGCTGGTACCATGGCACATGGGATAAAGCTGCCGTCTGTAGTGCTGGCATCCCATATGGGTGCCAGTTCGCATCCTGGCTACTCCACTTCTCATCCAGCTCCCTGCTAATGTGCCTGGGAAAGCAGTGGAGGACGGCCCAAGTCCTTGGGCCCCTGCACCCACGTGGGAAACCCGGATGGGGCTCTTGGCTCCTGGCTTCTGCCTGGCCCAGCCCTGCCTGATGGTTGGGGCTGTTTGGGGGAGTGGACCAGCAGATGGAAGAGCTCTCTCTTCTGACTTCCAAATAAATAATAAATCTTTAAAAAAAAAAAAGGAAGCAGCAGGTCTGTGCTGCAGGAGTGGAGTACCCAAGGAGAGGGTGATGAGGCAGAGGCTTCTGATCAGGGGAGACCTGAAACCCCCAAGGCTTCTGAGAGAGAGAAGGAAGCCCTGGATTGCTGGGGACAGAGCAATGATGTGACTGAGCGGGGGTCAGCCTGGCTGCTCTGCTGAGAGCAGACTGCAGGGCCAGGGTAGAAGGCTACAGGCAGGTGGGACGTCCCAGTGGTCCTGCCAAGACCTGGGTGACAGTAGGGACGTGGTGAGAGGGCCCTGTGTTTTAACCGCAGTGGAAAGGAGAGCAAGCAGGGCTGTGGGAACTGCACATGGGGACTGAGAGGGAGGAAGGAGGCAGGCCGGTCTCTTAGGTGGGAAGGCTTGAAGACCTGGAAGGATGAGATGGGAGGAACAAGTCTGGGGGAGAATCCTGAGGCTGCATTCAGACTTCAACATGGAGGGGAAAGGCAGTCACAGATCAAAAGCAGCCCATGACCACGACCTGTGGTGCACCAACCTATGGACACAGAGCTCACAGCTGAGGATGACGCAACAGAGCGGGTGGAGAAACTGTGAGTGCACTGAGGAAGAACAGGGAGGAGGAGCAACGGACAGTGCCAGAAGCTGCAGACAGGCCAAAGAGGAGCGGGGCTGAGACCTGGCCGCTGGCTGCTGGCCGCTGGCCGCGTGGAAGGGTCTGAAGAGAGCATAGTGGAGTGGCTCCTGGCTTTGTGCCTCGCGGCTGGGAACACCACACGAGGCACAATATGACCCGGAAGTGGTTCTGCAAACGCCTGATTAGGTCTGGACTCAACGCCCAACTGACAGGAAACACGGAGGACAGGGGAACATGCTAGGGGAACATGGGGCTGCAATCAGCAAATCCCAGACGGGAAACAGCTCACAAATAACTCAGTTCCTCAGCGAGTAAGTTACCAGAAAAGGAGGCTGATGCAAGGAACGCTTCAGTCTAAGGAATGAGACAAATCAGTCACCTGTAATGTACAAGCCTTAGTTGGTCCTTACTCAAATAATTTGCTTTTTAAAAAGGCCCAGTATTTTTGAAACAATTAGAAACGTGAGCACTGAGTATCTGATGATATTAAGGGATTTTTTTTTGAGATGTGATAATGAGACTGCCTGTGTATAAAATGCTACGATGTCTGGGATTTGCTGCGGAATTACTATGTACAGCTGGTAAGTGTTGGAGAGGAGTATCTGGGTAGGGTGGAGAAGGCTGCTTATGTATGCTATGAGATGGTTTTGTGTGAGGGGACCTTAAGAAGCTTGTGGAAGTGGTGGGCATTTGGCCTGGCAGTTGAGACGCCAGTTAGGGCACCCATATTCCATGTCACAGTGCATGGGTTTGAGTCCCGGATCCAGCTCCTGATTCCAGCTTCCTGCTAATGCACTCTGGGAGACAGCAGGTGATGGCTCAAGTAACTGGACTCTGTCACCCACACGGGAGACTTGCATTGGGTTCTCAACTCCCAGCTTTGTCCTGCCCAAACCCAGGTGTTGCAGGCATCTGGGTAGAGAACCAGCAGATGGCAGCTTGCTTGCTCTTTCTTTTTGCCTCTCAAATTAGAAAACCAAAACAAAACATTTTTTGTATTAAAAAAAAAAGGTTTGTGGAAAGCAGAATTCTGGTACAGAAAAAACTGAAAACCAGGCACAGTTTTTTCATAATACACATTTTCCATGAACATTTGGAAGACCCTGTTTGCAGATTTCACACAATGAACTTATCTTTTAATTGTACTTTCCATAAAATTTTTGAAGTACCCTCCGTATATGTTTACTATAAGATATTTCAAACATTAAAAAATCCACAGAAAAAGAGAACGGGAGGAGAATAATGGGGAGGTTGGACGTGGGCTGAGTGGGAGCTCTGAGCAACATAGTGGTGCGAGGGAAGGTAGAGGGCAGTCCCCGAGGGTGGGACAGGCAGGGTCTCCCTGGGACCACGTGGCGGGCTTCTGTTTGGACTCACTGAGAAAGCACAGGTTGAGTCCTCCTAAGCAGAGACGCAGTGTGGGCTGGGAAGGCATGAGCCCGGACGGCCAGGAGCAGGAAGGCGTGGTGTGAGGTTGGGGGACAGGACGGTGGGACCCCCACCCTGACTGAATGCTTCTTCCAGCCGCATCCAGCTGTCGGATGCAGTCCAGTGAGCAGAACACAGTGCAGGAAGCGTGGGAAGATGAGGGAGAAGGCTAGGTAGTGGCTCTGGTGAGGGGCTGATGCTAGGGTGGCAGGGAAGGGTGGCCATGAAGCAGGGAGCACAGGGAGCAGGTGGCAGCAGCGTGGCGGGTCCCAGTGGGGTCTAGACATTGTTGGGGTTTGGGAGCTGGAGGAGCAGGTGGAGGGATTCAACGGTCATATGTGAGTGACACAGGGTGGACTCGGGCAGACTACAGATGGGGTAAAGGCACCTGGGGAATTTGCCTCAAACCTCTCTGAGATCAGGACAGCTGTTTGGGCAGTTGAAACAAAAAATACAACAAACACCAAGCACGAATACCACTGGGCAACCTTGGGGAAGCCTTGCATCCTGCTGCATCGGGGCTCCCTCACGCTACTGCACAGGATCCTGGCCCCCCCAACCAGTCCATCACCTTCTAAATGTGTCACCTGACTGAGGAACCTTGGGGAGGGGTGGATTTCAACCACCCAACCAACACTAAACCCTCGTTTACTCAAACGAGGCCACAGAGCACTGGACTCTGGTCAGAAGTCTGGCTGCCAGCACTTGACAGTCCTCAGAGTCATTATGGGCTCCTCTGAGCCCATCTGCACCTAATGTAGGCCCTGCTGCCTTGCAGGGTCATGTGAGGAGCGAATGAGCCGTGTGCTCCTGAAGGTGCCGCTGACAGTAAGGCACAGAAGAGCGGCGGCGCTGCCTTCAGTGTCGTCACAGGAGAACTGAGGTTTTGGTCATGACTGAAATGTGGTCTTAGCGTGGCACAGAGGCAGCACGCACAGACCCTGCTCCGCTGTCTTTCCCGAGCCTGGGCATCTCCCCTCTGCAGGGCACAAGCTGTCCCAGGGACAGCAGTGAGGGGTTCACGGGAGCAGGACTTCCTTTGGCCCTTAAAAACCTTACGAAGCAGGTGTTATCCTCCCCTGTCTACAGAAGAGGATTGTGAGGCTTCTTCAGTGAGGCTACTAAGTCACTTGTCTAGAGCCACAGACCTTGTAAGTGGTCGAGCTGGTACTGGCTCCCAGGTCTCTCTGCTTTTACAGAGGAGAGGCAGCGGTGCTGGGGGACCACAAACATGTGTCTTCTGAAACATGTGTTAACGCTTAGGAGGGTGTGATGACACTTTAATTACATGCAAACACAGGAGGGAGAAATCTTACCTTTCTGAGGTAGTTTAGGAAGAACTCTTGGGCCAAGGGCAGTCTTTGCAGAACTGGTGCTGATTAATAAATAAATAAGAATTACTTAGGATCTAAAAGTGCTGTCATATCAACAGTGATATATCATTCAAGGAAATCATAGGCATTTACAGGAAGATTTCAAGAACCTTTCAAAATGTCTTTAACAAAAGATTATCACCTATTTTCTCTATTTTTCCTTTGGGTGGAACAGGAAAATGGGGGAAAAAAAAGTCGATTAATGACAAAGCCAAAGTTCTCCATCTTTTCCCAGTGGTAACAACATTTATGAAAATACTTACTGAGTCATGGCCCCACACAGAAGCACTCACCTCACACAATCCCACAGGCAGCCCTCGTCTGCCCCATTTCCAGGCAGGGATACAAAAGCGACACAAGTGTCCCTGGCTGGCAGGTGGTCTGGGCTGGTCAGTGGTGGCCACGGAAATTCAGTGGGCCTCCAGAGCCCTCACTTCCTCCCCTGGCCAAATCCACTGCTGGGTTCTCAGGCTTCCAGGCTGGCCCTGGCTGCGGCCTCCATTTGCTGGACATGCAAATGAGTAGGGGGAAAATGCCCAAGTCCCAGGAAAGGCCGTCCCACCACCACGTGGTCTCAATAAGCCAATGAGGCATCTCTTAGTTGGAAACTGTCTTTCCCTGTAACAAGGAGCTACAGTTCCCAGGGCCAGGGGCACTGCACACCTGAAAGGCAATGGCAGCCTGAGCCACGTCTGCCTGGAACCTTTGTATTCTGTGGCTCTCCTTGTGTGTCCTCTGACGCCTAAGCAGTGGCATCTTCTACTACTTTCTATCCTCATTAGATTTAGCAGGAAAAGGGAGAGGCAAACCAACCACAGAACCACAGAAGAAGGCCCAAAGAAAGAAGGTGAGATGCACACGTTCTTCTCTGCCATCCTGACCCTCAAGCCCTCGGGTCTGACTGCTCTTTCTCAACTCCCTGGAAACCCTCCCAGCCGTGGAGCCTGGAGGAGACCAGGCTTGTGGCAAAGCCGCTACACTAACAAGAAGCAGCAAACACGAGAGGGCTCGGCTTCCAACGGTGCTGGAACCTGACTTCCTCAAGGCAGTTTCAGCTTCTTCCCAGGGCAGCACAGCTACGCACGGCTGCAGTGTGAGAATGTCATTTGATCTTGGCCACGTATGGACAGCCAAGGCCTCCAGAGTCATCACTTCCTTACCCAGAAGTCTCTTCATCAACCACGTGTGCTTGCACCGGGGGTTTTCCCTTCCTATCTATCTATCTATCTATCTATCTATCTATCTATCTATCTGCCAGGAACTCCAGACCACTGCCACTGGGGGTGCTGTGTGGACACATGTGTGCCTGTACGCAGGTGGGGGAAGGAAGACTCAACAAACCATCAGATGTCTCTAGTTTCCCCTCGGCTTGATCCTGTTTCACAACATTTTATGGATGCCTGCTGGGTGTCACTCTTCCAGCTCTGGAAGCAGGCTGTCTGAACTTGAGCTGCAGGAGGACGCAGTGAGGCGTCAGAGGTGGGTATGAGGGTGAAGAAGGGGCATGGGACACGGGAGAGAGAGTGCTGGCTGCGGGACCACCTCTGCGGGCCTCAGTTTCCAATCACCTTGTAGAAGTGAGGATGACGGGCTCAGGGCCTACCTCACAGAGTTGTATGGATTAAATAAGATAGTGGTTATTAAAAGAAACGAAGTTCTGTTTTTCCACCTATTGCAAACACTGGAAAATAACCCCTTGACACAGCAGCTCTGTTCCTGAGGCTGTCTGGAAGTGGCTTGTCGTGTCCATATCTCAGATCACACCTCGAGAGAAAACGCTTTGGGGTGCAGCTGGGATTAAAACTGCCCCCAGCTCTCTGAGTGTCCACAGGAGGAAAGGCACACCCTTTCAGCCCAGCGCAAAAACAAATCTTACACCTGGGCACCTGTAAAGGGCCCTATTCTTTTTTTTTTTTTTTTTTTTTTTTTTTTGACAGGCAGAGTGGACAGTGAGAGAGAGAGACAGAGAGAGAAAGGTCTTCCTTTGCCGCTGGTTCACCCTCCAATGGCCGCCGCTGCAGCCGGCGCACCGCGCTGATCCTGGCAGGAGCCAGGAGCCAGGTGCTTTTCCTGGTCTCCCATGGGGTGCAGGGCCCAAGCACCTGGGCCATCCTCCACTGCACTCCCTGGCCATAGCAGAGAGCTGGCCTGGAAGAGGGGCAACCGGGACAGAATCCGGCGCCCCAACCGGGACTAGAACCCGGTGTGCCGGCGCCGCAAGGTGGAGGATTAGCCTATTGAGCCACGGCGCCGGCTTTAGGGCCCTATTCTGACATCTGAAAATCTCTGGGTTATTGTATCAGGTTTCCCTGGAGACTACATTTCAATCCCAAGTCTGCAGAAGGAGTCGTAAGCTTTCTTAAAACACGAAAATTAAAAACAAGAACGTGTTCCGGCGGGCACCGTGCTGAGGCACACCGTGTGACTCTGACTACCAGGGAGGGGAGCTGAGTTCCCTGCCTGTCATCGCACGGGCAGAGCTGTGCTGCCAAAACCATGGTCTGTCTACAGAGGGGCTGGGCCAGCGCCCTTCGCTCTGCGGTGAGATGCGCATGCAAGCGGACCGTGAATGCCTGGTCTCTCCCTGGAACCAGCACCGCCCGCTGACCACGCTTTGAGTAGCACTGGCAAAGTCACTACCGGCCACGTCCACTGCAGCCAGGAGCCCGACAGAGGAGGAAACTTGCCAGGGCTGCTTACCTCGACTGCTGAGAGAGCCCTTCAAACTTGTTTGCAGTCTTACTTGAAGATGAGGAGCCCACATCGTTTCCTACGAGGAAAACCGCAAGTCAGAAGCTGCATCTGCAACACGGGTTACGCGGGCTTGGCAGACAGACAGGCACTCCTCAGGCTCCAGAAAGGCACTTAAAAGACTCCACCCAGAACGAATGCATTTCTGGCATTAAAGCAAAACCCAATTCAGCACTGTTTGGGGCTTTCACAAGGTTTTTACTGCTAGCATGGGAGTTATGTCAAAGAAGCAAGCAGCCTGCTCCCTGGTAAGGCCTCTAAAAGAACTTGGGAACTTGGTGCTGAAGCTCTTGTCCCTTGCCTGTGGGGCAGAAAAAATAGAAAGATTTTGAATTCACCTAGAGATTCCCATGTTGGGAGACCAACCCCAACCAGCCAGACTCAGAAAAATACAGTAGTGACAACTGGTGCCCTGTTGGGCAAGGCCCCACTTACCCACTCATCATTCAAACACTCATGTTTGTTAAGCATCTACTTTGTGCAAGGAATGCTGTGAAGCAGGAGGCACAAATGCAAACCAAACGTCACCGCTCTGGCAGCACAGGGTCTGGCCTGGGAGACTTATGCACAGGAACTGTACTAATAAGGTGGAATGAAATGAATGTTGAATTAGGTAGGTTGCTGTGAAAATGCAGAGGAAATAGTGCAGAAAATCTAACTGGTAAGAGGGGGCAGGGAGTGTCCCTTGAGGCACTAAACAGGTGAAGAACTTTGCAGCTGGGGGAGCAGCAAAAGCAGAGGCAGACGAGTCCAAGTGCACCTTGTCCAGGTCAAAGGACTGGTTAGAGTAGAATCGGGCTCTTCCGAGACCACCTCATGGCAGGAGAAGTACAGGACAGTGCGGGGGCCCCGAGCTGCTAGGCACCCAGGAGGAGCCCTGGGGACCCACAGGGCACAGCCAGGAGCTGAGGCTCTCCTTCATCTCCCTGCCTGCCCTGCCAGCAGCTGTTCTGCAAACTCCAAACGTTCTCTTCCTTTGGCATATGCTGCTCTTACCCTGCTGACACACCCGTGATACCACCTGGGGGCAAGTGGGGCGGGGCTGGCTGAGCGGCTCAGAAACAGGAAGGCAGACAGCAGAGGACGGGGTTTGTGGAAAGACCTGAACCAACCCTCCTGCTACACGATGCATCTGCTCCACAGCACCAACAGCTGCCCAGGTGCTTCCAACACCCCCCGGCCCTGCTTCCTTACACCCCCACCAAGAGGCACTGGCATCACTGCTCCCCTTCAAAATTCAAGAAAGTGAGGCTAAGCCAGTGAGTGGCAACCGAGTGACATGCCCGCGTCCCTACCATGGATCTGTGCTCTTCAGTGTCCATCACGAATGCCCGATAGTCACACGAGTAACAGCAACACCACTTGCTGAGCTCTTTCCATGAACAAGGTACTGTGCTCAGTACCTCAAAGTAACCATGCTCAAGAAATGGGCAATAATCGCTGCCCATGTTATGTGAGTTTATGAAGAAGCAGGGAGGAAAGCAAAGCAACTTGCCCAAGCTGAAGTGGCAGAGAAGGGTCAGAGCCCACGTCCAAGGTCTGTCCTCTGAACTACCTCATGTTCTCATCCCCCAGACCTGCTTAATCTACTAACCCAGGAAGGCTGGCAGAGCGCTAAGACTGGACTTCCCAGGCAGAATGTTCTGTAACTCCAGCATATATACACAAAAAGCAAAAAAGCTAAACCGGCATTACCTGGCCCAAAGACCTTCAAATGACTTTTGTTGAATTTTGATAAGATTTTCCTCCTACTCATCAAGTTAGCTCCAGGAGCCTGTAACTTAGTATTTCAGGGCTTCTTTAGTTACCTCTTAGGAAATCCTCTGAGCTCTGATTTCTTTCAGGCAGGCATTCCTCTGCCACACCACATTCAATGCTGAGTCTCTGGGGCTGGATATCAAATCTCACCCATTCAGACTTAAATGAGCCATAACAACCACAATGTTTGTGGAATCAACTGTTGCATTTGCTAATTCCCTTTCAAGACAGAAAACATTAACCCACATATGCCGGAGTGAAGCTGGGGCCAGAGAGGCTGCTGAAGCCCCCAGCTCTGAGTGGTCCCTGTGCGGTCACACGGCTGAATCATCAGACCAGGTGTGGGTGTTGCTGCCCAACATGGACAGGCCCTGCTAACCAGAATCCTCATTTAACCTTCCTGTCTGCTCACTTAGGGGACTGGCTGTCCTCTGGAGACACAGTTGCCATGCTCCTGTAACTGTGCCTCTTCTGTCCCTTTCCCTCCCGTTCTCGGTGAATTCCTACACCACCTCCCCGTCACACGCTGAGGATTCTCCTCCTCCTCATGAGCTGCGGCTGACAGTGTGGATTAGGGAGCCAGAGAAGGCTGGTTCTGAATTCTCACGGCAGCTCTGAGCAGTGACTGGGATCTCAGTGACAGCTTCCTCTGCGAGGCCTCCACCTCCTCCTGCGCACCTTGGGGTTGACAACAGGAAAAGGAAGTCTCTGCCCCAAGGCTCCTTAGCAAGGCAATGCTAATTTGAAATGCACTTACTGGGCATTTCAAACACTGAGCTCTTTTTCACCTCCAAGTCCTAGCCTTGAAATGTGAGAAGTGAACCACTTTGTGGGATAGTTTTTCATTTACTATTTGCTCTACATTAAAGAAAAATTCGACCCAGTGGCTGATGGTGAACATCAGCGATTCCCAGAGGTCAGTAAACCAGGGATTGGTAGACTCTGGATAACTACTCAGACTTCCAAGATGTTCATCAGTGTACGTTACAGCCTCCCACGACAGCCACTGCAGCACTGTCTCTGAACGTCAAAGGAGAAGGGTCCGGTAAGAACACTGGGGTCAAAATCTGCAGTCTGCTTCTAGCTACTGTACAAGACCTGATGTTACGGATTTTGTGAAGAGATGGTACCCTTGGTACTTTTACTCTTCCGCTGTTCTCATTTCCTTAGCATTTAAGCTGCATTAAGATATGTTCATCTGTTATAAAGTAGGTTATCAAAAACAGGGAGAGGTTTAATGAAATGCTACTTCAAAATTCAGAGGCCTGTTTGTTTTCTTATCAAAAGCCTGCCTGAGAAGTCTCCTGAGACAGATGGCTGTGCTCATCAGAGGAGGGACTGCAGTCACGTGACGCCTGGGCTATTTTGAGCACGATGGACGTTGCGATTCTGCAGTGGCCATCCCTGCCTGGGCAGAGCTGGAGCCGCACACATGGCACTGTGCTGTAGGGGGATGGAGTGGCACTGATAGTGGCGCACGAGCCAAGTGTGACTCACGGTGGAGGCAGGACCTGGCAGTCACGGCCACTTTGCAAATGAGCTGAATGCCAGAAATGCCCAAGGAGACCAGGAGGAACAAAGTGATGGGAGAGCCAACCAGCGGCGTAAGTTTCAAAGCTCGACAGGTGGAGCCTTCTCCTGGTGGAGGAGAGGCTGCTGAGAGAGACAGAGAGAGAGAGAGAGAGAGAGCGAGAGCAAGAGAGCGAGCACCTATCTACTGGTTTACTTCTCAAATGCCTGCTGTGATTTGCACTGGGAACTGGGAATCAGATCTCCTGCATGAGTAACAGGAACACAACTGCTTGAGCCATCACCACTGCCTCCCGGGGTCTGCATCCGCAGGAAGCTGGAAGTCAGGATTGGAGCTGGGACTTGACTCTAGGCACCCTGATACAGGATGTGAGTACCCCATCTGTGGTACTTGTTGCAGCAGCTGTAGGAAGCAGGTTTCTATTTCATGTGCCAGTCTACCGTCAAGTCGTCCAGCAAAATGCTAGGGTGAGAGTAAGAGCAACAGTAGCTGCCATTTACTGAGGGCTTCCTATTTCCTGGGCCCTTTCTCATTCAGCCTTCATAGTAACTCTATGGATCATTTAGGCACTATTATTAGTCTCATCTTGCAGCCACAAAAACTGAGGCACTGAACAATTCAGACAGTCGCTGAAAGCCACAGGACTACCAAGAGGTAGAGATGGCATTAGAAGGCCGTGTGACACCACAGCTCACGTCAGAGACTGCTCTACATGTGCCCTGGCATAACCTATGTGTGTGCACGCAAGACAGTGGCCTGGGCAAAGCCTTTAAAGCAGGTCCTAGGAGATCCGGTCTTGAAGAGTGACTAGGCATGAACAAGGAATAGAGAGAATAATATTCTAGGTTGAGGGCTCAGATTTGAGAGGAAAGAATGAGTTGGGGAAGGTGCTGAATCTTACTACGGCAGATAGGTCCTGTTTTGGGGGAGGGAAGGTGAGGTGCGGGGGGAGAGCTAAGAGACTGCTCCTCTACTATGTCCTGATGCCAGGTGCCTCCCCCAACCCCAGACTTGATCTCTGACAGCCCCAAATCCCTCAATGTCATGGGCTGAGGAGAGATGGGAGGTTCAGGGGGACATACGGGCAGTGGGAAGATGGGCACGCAGGGAAGCTGCAGGTACTGTGGAAAAATACAGCTTGGGAGGCTCACCTCTATGTGCCTTCCCAACAAGCGGTCTGGCCCCTGCCTCTGGAACACCATGGCGGCAGGAGACGGGTGTTAGGATCACCAGGCAGTGACCACATGACACAAATGACAACATACCACTTCCTTAGAGAAGTCCTACTGTGTTTGTGTGTACGCCCGTGTGCACTCACATGCCTGCTTCTGACCTGTGCCTGGAGGTGCGTTTAAGTGTATCTCACACTTGAGCTCATGCCAACACATGATGAACAGCCATGGTAATTCCAGAATTAACATTTAGCCTTGTCTGGGGGTGACTACCAGAACCCGTGTCACACGGACAATGGCTCCTGTGCAGCGGGCAGATTTCAGGTTTCCTGTCTTTCAGAGCAGGTTGTAGGTGTGAGGCTCTCAGCTAGTTGTCAGGTGGGCAGTAACTTCTCCACGATGACAACAGGCTTGTTTCTTAGTGAAAAAAACTCCTCACTCACCGGCTCTGGGAGAAAGAAAAGGCCAGGTGCCTGGCTTGCTACTTAGTGGTGCGAGAGAAGTCTTAAGAAATGACAGATTTATTTGAGGGATGCTTGAGTCCACGTAAAGTGGCTACACGCACTATAGAAGCCTTACAAAGAAATAAAACCGGGTAAACAAGAGGATCAGAGTTTAACGAAATTTACAAAGAAGGCTAATTTGTGAACTGAGGTATGCGAATCTAAACAGGAAACGTGACTTTCCATGGACATTACTGTGGAGAGAAAAGTCCCTCTCTGATAAAACCTGGGGACTCTGGAAGGCCTAGGGATGCAAGCTCGGAAGCTGTCAGAGGCATTCCTGGTATCCACGTGCGTGTGTGCCCGCGTGCCTCCGTTATTCCTGCCTCGGTTGTTTCTCCTGGGAACAAATTCCTTAAAACCCTCTCAAACTCCTGCTCCTCTCTGAGGCCTCCCCTGACTTTCCTATGCAATCGGACAGTCTATCCCTCAGCATTTCCACAGTACTTACTTAACACAGCCATCCTGACAGTAAGGAACATACAGTTTAATTGTTAGTACCTGTCTGTTGTCCTCAGATGATCATGAGCTCTGTGAGCATATGGATTGAGAAGGCCCAAGCAATAAACACAGGTGGTGTCAAAAATGAGCTGAATCAACAAATGAACGGCTAAACAGCCCCATTCTCACATGTGCACACCCACCCACACCCACACTGTGGCATTTGGGTCAGATGGTGGACAGGTGTGCCAATCTGCAAGTGGACAGTATGGTGTTTTTTTTTTCCAAAAAATTTTTAACACTTGATTCAGGCTTTTTATGATGCCTTTAGAAGCATTAAGCTGAATTACCTATCAGCATGATAAGCACAATCAAAAAACGAAACAGAAAAAACAATCCCACAGTGAAACTCTTTGGCAGGAAGTGATGAGACATGCATAGTGGCAAGTTCTTTCAGCCAAGCTTCCAGGCACATCCTTCATGGGCCGGGGCCCTGCGAGGTGATAGGGTGGCCCTGGAACTGCTAACGGGTTAGTAGTAAAGATGGAAACTGTGTCCCTTGCAGGCAGAAATTTGTCGTTTGTGGTCAATGTCACAGAGGTGATTATACTGGCTGACTCTTGCTAAGTTTATTCATCCTCAAGCGATCACTGAACATCCTCTGTGTGCCGGGCACAATTCCAGGCTCTGCAAACACAGGAAGGACAAGACAGACAAAGTTTCCGCTCTCATGGGGCTCCCACCCTCACGGGGGAGAAAGACACGAGGGGACAAGGTGCCTGGGAGGAAATGGATACGCAGGAGGCTCCTTGAGAGAGGTAGGTCAGGGAGACAAACATGCAGCTGACAATGGAAAGGATAACAGGGCCCAGGCTTTCAAAGAGCACGGCAGAGTCTCAGGGAGCAGAGGGCCCCTGGAAGAAGGGGAGCATGGTGCATCAAGTGGAGGAAGGCCAGTGGGGAGAGCAGAGCGGCACCGGAGGGGATGGGATTAAGGCCCTGGACACACATCTCCTACAGGCCCACGGTGGGGTGAGCTCAGCAGGACAGCTTCAGAGGGTGGTCAGGAGAAGAGTGACTATGATCTGGTTTTATAAGACAACCTTTCTGGCTGTCGCGAGAATGGATCGCTCTGCTTTCCTGAGCCTATTTCCTTATCTGTAAATAAGATTGGCAACACCTACCACACAGAGTTGCGATTATGACTGAATGAGGTCTAGGAAATGCCAGCACCTTATTACTACTCATAGCTTTTGATGATTCTAAATATATTTCACATCACTTCTTGACCTCTGAGGCAGGTCTGATTACAAGCATCCGAGTCCTCATCCAACAGGTGTGCAGTCTGCTACATTTCCTGCATGTGCTGACTGTCCACTGCCCAGTGGAGTCCCACGCACTGCCTGGCCCTGGGCAGCTTTGGCCCTGACTTTGGGTAACTTACCCCAAGGAACTGCGCCTTTGTTTGGGGGCCCATGAGGTAGTGGGCTGGGAGGGTCGGACAGGGTTCTCTTGTGTCCGGGTGGTGGGGGAGGAGGCCTCTTCTTGGATAGGGTGGAGCTGCCACTAGAGGTCTGGGTGCTTAGAGGGAGTGTTGAAGGTGGGCCAGTTGGACCTGGAAGGAAATTGAATGGGGGCAGGAAGGTTAATCCCAGTCTCAGACACAGAACAACCAGTACGCGATTACTTCCACATATTAAAATGTGGTACAACAACATACACAGACAAATGTAAACAGCTGGACAGGGCCAAGTCCATCAATCCAACAGCTCACAAAAATAGGGTTTAAAAAAAAATGTTGGTTTAAAAAAAAAAAAAAGGGAAATTACAATGAAGGAAATTCAAGTGTGTGCTGTGACGGGACAAAATGCTGGTCAACACAGAATGCTAATGGCTTCGGATCATCATTTAGGGACGATGGGGAAAAATAAAACACATACACATTCCAAGCTGACAACTCACTGGAATCATCACAAAATCTACTGAGGAAGGAGGCTCACAGCAGTACCAGCACAATCAATAGAGAAAGAGCAGAGCACTGAACAAGCTACACCTCCCATGGCCACAGGTTGGGGCAGGCAAATGTTCACATAATAGGAGTTTTCTCTCCACCACAACTTTTTCAATAAACTGCCTGAAGTTTTTCTAAAATGAAAAAACAAAAACTTTTCTAAATAATGAAGGACCTAATGTGAAGAGTTACCTGTAAAGAAAGGAAAATCCAAAAATTCTTTTCTTCCAGTTCAAAATTGTTCTAGAAATCATACACCATCTATTGTATTATATGTATTTGTATCGGACAAACGGTATAAGCTAGACATTTCTTAAAAAAGGACTCAACTTTCTTCAGAGGCACACAGGACAGCAGTAATGATAGTAATATTCCATATACACACAAGAAACATTACTGCAAACGTTGGCTTCTTTGAACTTTTTTTCCAATCTTCTTTTTAAAAGCAGTTAAAAGAGTAGTGTATGTGCTCTTAGTTTTGTTCATCTGAAGTGACACTGAAGTGGTCGGGGACTCTGCTGGGCACACTGACAGGTATTTCTTTACGGAATATTACCAGGTATATGTTGGAATCATGTTCATGGACAACTTGCTTCTGCAAACATTTAGAGGAAACAAGAAAAACGTAAAGAAACAAACAAAAAGCTAAGGGCACTGCCACACCCAGTGTGTAACACGGAATGGTAGATACCTGAGTTCCAGAAAGGCTCCAAAAGAGCTTTCTACATTCTGTGTATTAAAAGAAAAGCTCAATTGCTGCTGGCCTCCTTCCTGGGTGACATAAGCTTCGGTATTTCCCACTGTTAATCGCCAGTCACTGCCAACACTGACTGAAACCATCATTTCTCAGATAGGTTAGTCTTGGCAACAAATACTGCTACTTGCACCAGAATTACAATCTGTGTTAGGATTAAGTGAGCACAGCTATATAATTTGTTGTCTGTCCTCCAGATATGACACATGATGGAAGCTTATGGCAACTCCAAATCACTGAAGCTATTTTATTTTGCAACAACAAGATGACTGTTGCGCTTGGCCTTGCATTTGTGTAATGCTGTGTAGTTTTCAAAATGCATTTGTACGTTTTATTTTTCTTGTTTTTTCTCACCACCCTGTGATGTTGTGGGTCGGGTATTATTGTCCGTATCTGGCAGCCAAGAAAGTGGGGGCTTGGCGTGATCAAGGCTACACAGCCACCAGGGACACAGCTGGGACATGCAGGTGTCTACAAATGTTTAGGGGCAGTTGCTCCAGCAAACAATGCTGCTAGTTCCCAAAAGCCAGGGCAGTGTTTCCTGCCCTTGGCACCCGGGAAAATGAAAACGACAACAAACACTCAGTATCAGGAAGTGGTAACTTTCCTCTTGGAAATAAATGGATAATAGATAATGAACAATGGTGAGATTCTCTAGCAAGTTCATCTTTATCGCCACCTAGGGACTTCCTGATGCAGTGCACCTGAAAGGTCACTCAGTTTCCATTCAAATCCTGCCTGGAAACAAAAAATGGCATAGTCAAGTGCACACGGAACTATGTCTCTGTGTAAGACGTATAGACGTGTGCTTATGATCTCAGAAGTGTTCAGACCCAGGATTCGACCTGTCACACAAACCAAGCAGAAGCCAGCTTCCTGAGACATTTCAGAGGTGACGGTATTAGTGCTACACCTGACTTCCTCTTGTTATTCATGTCTCCATTTACTTATTTACTGCCTGACTCTCCCACCTCACTACAGACCCAAGCTTTTCTCTGGCCTAGGAGATAAGTATTTAGCGAATACAGGAGCAAATACATTCCTACTTCTCAAAAAATTTAATTTTTATTTACAGGGGGTAGTGAGCAGAGACAGAAAGATCCCATTTGCTGTCCAACTCCCAAATTCCTGCGAAGCTGAGAGCCAGGAACTCAATTCAGGTCTCCCACGAGGGTGGCAGGGAATTAATACTGAATCACCACTGTTACCTCTCTTGGGGTCTGTGTTGGCAGGAAGCTGGTATCAGGAGTGGGGACTTGGAATTGGACCCAGGCACTCCAATGTGGGATGCTGACACCTTAACTGCCAGGCCAAACACCCACCTCTACTTCTATTTTAAAGGCCAGTGCACCTCCATTGACGAATCAGAAACTGGGGGGAAGGTATCAGTCCCATAATGAAAAGGAGTAGTCAGTCCTATACTGTAATTTCTTATTTGGAAAGTAAACACATGGACCCACCTATTGCTCCAAACAGAAGCTACAGAGAGGAAGATGCCACAGAATCTTCTTCATGGGTAGGGCATGGTTAAAAACGCTGAAAAATTCCATATTAGACCCCAGAAAAGCAGACTTAGTTTTCTCTTTCTTTTTTTTAAATAGATTTAAAGAGTTCAGAATATTTCCAAAATTAGCAGCCATTTCTAAAACTAGGGGGTGTTTTTACGGTAAAGAAATCTGAGTATTGGCTCAGTCAGGAAGGGGCAATTCTAGAGGATAAAGGCGGCAGAAACAGAACAGGAGACGGCATCCAATCTGACACACAGGCAGGTGGAGGAGATGGAGGTGACTCACCCTTGCTCCACATTTCTGGGCCCAGCAATTTAATCTCAAGAGGCTGCAGCTATCCCTGACCTTCTCCCTACTCACTAAAGCCCTCTTATGGGGAAAACAATGTATTCGTAAACTGCAGAGGGGCTTGGGAAAATCTCACCAAATGAACAAACATTCTATCTTCAACAGTAAGGATCTTTCTCCACTCAGACTAGAAAAACTGTCCTGGAAAACGCATCACCTGCACCAAAATATAACCCCAAATACCTACTCCTCAAATCATAATCAGTATGCTTTTCGTTTTTTTTTTTTTTTTTTTTGGACAGGCAGAGTGGACAGTGAGAGAGAGAGACAGAGAGAAAGGTCTTCTTTTGCTGTTGGTTCACCCTCCAAAGGCCTCCGTGGCCGGAGCGCTGCGGCCAGTGCACTGCGCTGATCTGATGGCAGGAGCCAGGTGCTTCTCCTGGTCTCCCATGGGGTGCAGGGCCCAAGCACTTGGGCCATCCTCCACTGCACTCCCGGGCCACAGCAGAGAGCTGGCCTGGAAGAGGGGCAACCGGGACAGAATCCGGCGCCCTGACCGGGACTAGAACCCGGTGTGCTGGTGCCGCAGGCAGAGGATTAGCCTATTGAGCTGTGGCGCTGGCCACAATCAGTATGCTTTTCAAGTCTCCTTCTTGTGCAGGATTTTCTAGAGCTACCACTTATTGAGTATTATGCACCTGCCCCAAACTTGAGAAGTTTTTATGCACATCTTCTGGAGCTTACCTTGTAAAATATGTCTGCCACTACGGTCTATTTTAAGGGTGAAAAGCCTCAGGGCCCAGAGACGATCGGAAGCTGGGAATCACAGTGAGTGAGTGCCTGAGTCCAGGTGCCACCCTACGTGGCCGACTCAAGGCTGGGTCCTCAGCCTTGACAACAGCCTGCTTCTCTTCCTCTGAATGGCTGCATATCCTCTCTGGTGACTACATTCAGGGCCACAGCTGAGCTCTCTTCACTGGTGCATCCTCATCTTTCAATGGTCGGATAGAACACAGCCTCACGCAGAACTCTTCTCCAATCCCCCTCTTACTCCCCGGAGCAACTGCTCTGTATCTGAACCCCCACAAGGCTGCACAGCACGAGATGCTGTCTACCTTGTAGCACAGAGCTCTCTCTTGCTCTCTCTCTCTCTCTCTCTCTCTCTCGCTCTCTCTCTGCCAGGGCAAAGATTCCTATGGCATTCGTACCTGGTGTCAATGCCTGGCACATTCTGGGCATTCAGTGGACATCTATGGAAGAAACTCATGGTCTAAGTCAAAAGGTTTGTTTTTCAATGTCCTTGGACATCTGGTTTTCAGTAAAGGAGAAAACCTGGGGAGATACTGTTTAGAAATTTCGAAGGAAAAAAGAATAACAAGACTTATAAGATGGCTTGGCAAATTATCTTGGCTTTTACATTTCAAAGGAATTTAAAAAAAAGACCTAGAAGATGGCCTGAAAAGTTATCTTGATGGTTTTTGAAAAACTCGTCCATGAAGTATAATTTATATATTCTAACATGTCATACAAGTTATGGGCAACAAAAAAAAATAAAATGTTATCATAATTTTCTAATGCATTTGTTTTCATTTGTATTTTTAACTCACAAATAAAACTGGATAGATTTATTGGGTAGAACATGTTTTGAAGTATGTATATACACTGTGCAATGGCTAAATTGAGCTAATTAACCTATGTAATTACTTCACATGCTTAATCCTCTCTTGTGGTGAGGATGCTTACAATCTACTCTCAGCTATTTTCAAGAATACAATGTTCTTAATGACAGTCACCATGCTGCACAATAGATCACTTGAACCTATTTGTCCTAATTCATCTAAGGAGCAAGTTTATACTAATTTACTTTACAAAGCAGATAAAGACACAACACTGGATATTTACATAGAGAAGGAAGGAACTGTTAGCATCTCCACACTCAGACGGGGAAACAGAGGCATAGTGAGGTACAGTGGAGCATGCTGGACCCTACCGTGGTCAGCACAGGGCTGGCCAGGGCAGCAGTATGCAGGCTGTCCCCTGAGTACGGAAGTGCT